GTGGTTTGGCAAGGGTGTTTTTTAAAGTGCCAGGTGTGGTTGGCCAAGGGGTGTTATTATTAAGCCAGGGGTGGTTTTGGAAAGGGTGTTATTTTTGGGCCAGGTGTGGTTGGCAAGGGTGTTTTTTATTGGCCAGGTGTGGTTTCAAGGGGTTTTATTGTGCCAGGTGTTGGGTTTGGCAAAGGGTGTTATTATTGAGCCCGGTGTGGTTTTGGGAAGGGTGTTTTTATTGAGCCAGGGTTTTGGTTTTGGCCCCAAAGGGGGTTAAATTTTTGAGCCCCGGGGTGGTTTGGCCCAAAAAATTATTAAATTGGGGGCCAGGTGTGGGTTGGGGAAGGAATTTTGGGGGGGGGGGGGGGGGGGGGGTTTTTTATTGGCCCGGTTGGGGGGGTTTTGGGAGGGTGTTTTTAAGGATGGGTTTGGGGGGGGTTTGGGAGGAGTGAGGGTTGGCCCAAAGGGGGGTTATTAAAAAAGGGCCCGTGTGGTTTTCAAAAGGGGGGGTTTTTATTTTAGCCAGGTGTGGTTGGCAAAGGGTTTTTTATTATTGGCCAGGGGTGGTTGGCAAGGGTGTTATTAATTTTGGGCCCGGTGTGGTTGGCAAAGGGGGTTATTAAATTTTGGGCCCGGTTGGGGTTTGGCCCGGGTGTTAAATTTTTGGCAAAGGGGTGGTTTGGGAAGGGTGTTATTTTTGAAACCAGGTGTGGTTGGCCAAAGGGGGGGGGTTTTTGAGCCAAAGGGGTTTGGGTTTGGGAAGGGTTTTTTTTATTGACCAGGTTTGTTGGCAAAGGGTGGTTTATTATAAACCTTTGGTTTTCAAATTTTTAAATTGATCGGTTTAGAAAAAAAATTTCCCTTTTTTGGCCCGAGGTTTATTAAAAGGGGGAAAAACCTTTCCCAAAAAATTGCAGCTTGCATCTAACATTGCATCTTGTGTTTCACTGAAACTGTCCAGGACGCTTGATCACTATGTTTAGAGTCCAAGAGCTTGTGTTAATACAGCGTGAAAGCAGATCATGTCTTTCTTTAACAACTCTCTGTATGAATTTAATAAGACGTCTGCTATCCCCGTTCACCTAGCAGTAAATTAGGTACCTAGGTGGTAGTCGACTGGTGTGGGTCGCATCCTGGGACAAAACTGACCTAATTTGCCCGAAATGCTCAGCATAACACGGGGCTTTCTATATAGTAGTATGTAATTGATGTCAGCTAGGACTGTATACCTTGTACATGTACTTGTAAAAATAAAGATTATTATTATTATTATTATTATTATTATAAGTAGCTATGACTGTTCCTTGGGTAAATTAAGATCACGCACAAGATAGTTAAGTTCACTTTGAGTCACTAGATCTGGCTCCTTAAAAATCAAACAAAAACCATAAATCATCTTCCATACAATACTCAAGCACTCAGTAGACAACCGAGTTCAAATATAATTGGGGTGGAGCTGGGGTTCTATTTTACGGACACTGTACGTACGTGTCGGAACAAAACTAAGTTCAAACTTGAATCCAGCGGCCCAAAGCTAGTTCTCAACACAAGTTTGTAGACTTTAACTGAAACCTTTGTTGACCAGCAATCATTATTTATTTTTCTAAATTGTCTCAGTGCACAGTAGCTGAAACCTGTGAGCATTATATATATAATATATATATATATATATATATATATATATATAATATATATAAATATATATATATTATAAATTTAAAGGGGTAAGGACAGCGTGAAGTGGGATATAAGATAGAAATGTTAAAAGCAGGTGGGGAAATTATAGTTTTGATGGTTAGTTGCAATTATTAATAAAGCATGGATAGATGGTAAGACTAGGGATTGGCAGAGAGCATGCATAGTTTGGGGTTTTTTGTATAAAGGCAAAGGGGACAAAAGAGAGTGCAAAAATTATAGGGGAATAAGTCTGTTGAGTATACCTGGTAAAGTGTAGGTAGAGTTATAATTGGAAAGAATTAAAAGAGTAAGACGGAGAATAGGATAGCAGATGAACAAGGAGGCTTTAGGAAAGGTAGGGGGTGTGTGACCAGGTGTTTACAGTGAAACACATAAGTGAACAGTATTTAGATAAGGCTAAAAGAGGTCTTTGTGGCATTTAATGGATTTGGAAAAGGCGTTGACAGGGTGGATAGGGGGGCAATGTGGCAGAGTTGCAGGTGTATGGTGTAGGAGGTAGGTTACTGAAAGCAGTGAAGAGTTTTTACAAGGATAGTGATGCTCAAGTTAGAGTATGTAGAAAGGGACATTATTTCCCAGTAAAAGTAGGCCTTAGACAAGGATGTGTGATGTCACCCGTGGTTGTTTAATATATTATAGATGGGGTTGTAAGAGAAGTAAATGCGAGGGCTTTGACAAGAGGCGTGGCGTTAAAAGATAAAGAATCACACATAAAGT